TACATAAGGTTGAGAAATAATTAAAACAAATATGGGAAAATTAAAACCCATTTTGTCCCTATTCTCAAGAATCACTGACACATATTCCAAAAAACAGACACATAACTTGTTTTCTTACTGTCTGACATCAAACCACACTAAAGCTTTCCTGTTTCAAGGTCATTAAGGATAAAGTCAAAAGTTCACCTAGAGGATTACATTGCCTTAAAACAATTTGGGAAGACTGAAATAATCATATCATAACTTTCTAATCTTCTAGGTTAATTCAACACATTTGAGTTAACTGCAGGTGCACCAACATCTCACACACACTGCTTCCTTTTGTGATATTATGGCAAAAATAATAGAAATCAGCAAATATATCAGAATAAGGATTTTTGAAGGTTGTTTGTCATGTATGTCTCTTGTTGCTCTTATATGGACTGGTAGTCTGTCTCCTGCTTCTAGGTTAGAATAGAGATCCAGTCCCTACGGATCCTAAACCAGATTAAAGACATCTGAACAGTAACACAGTATTTAAGTCTGAATAATGGATGGATGTGATCAGTGTGGCATTGCTCCACATCCTTCTGCACCCACAGGAGAAGACAGGTAAAGATTCTCATGTCTTCCCCCAGAGTCTATCTGAGGATCCTCAGTTACTGCAGCAGATGCAGCATCTAATCCTTGGTTGATGTATCTTTCCTCCTCCCAGGCTTCCAGAACCGGGAGCTCGGACAGAAGACCTTTTAGTTTGTCAAGCAGACTCCTAAAGTCTGGCCTCAGCCGCGGCTCTGAGTCCCAGCAGCTCTTCATGATTTCGTAGCTGGTTGAAGGATAAGATAGGAGAAAAAGAATTAGACTTTTCTCACAGTACTGATTGTTTTATTGAACAGAAATCCTTCCTTACACGACAATGCTGAGTGTGATTTTCTTTGGTATTGGAGTCATTCATTCCTCCAATAAAGACTAATTTACCTTCCTCATTCAAATCCCTCATAATAAGTAGACAGTTTTTGTTCAAGCATGTTTTCCCATCCTGTGAATGGGGATAAATTTGATAGAACACAACTATCTTTGTTTTTTAAGATTTCCTCACATTTCAAATTGAATTAGGATTCTGGTGTATTTTTTCTTTCACAGACAGATTTGGGAAATATTCTGGATCATGACCAATGTGTCCTCTCTCAAACTATAACTATAAAACAAGTATAAAGTGGTGTTTTCATGTTCTGTCTGCTCTCTTACCTTTTCTCTTCCTTATTCTACAGTCCAAATGTGTATGTTTGGATATTTTTGCTGAATAACTCGAGGTGCATTCTTTTTCTTTTTGTTTTTTTGTAAGGATTCAGAATTGTTTTTTCAAATCTACTGATAAGAAGGAACAAAACTAGCAGCTTTCAGAACACTGCACCTGATTTCTGATAATTACCTGCAAGATGAATAAAATCTTGCAGATTTTTGGATCTGTTTTTGTTCTTTTATTTATTTATTTTTTATCAGACTTTACTGACTGATTGTACAATCACCAATTACAAGAGATCTCGGCAAGATATACATCCTCAAGGTACATGAGGAACATAGTTTTTTTTTTGTTGCCTTTTTTTCAAGATATGCAATATTCATTTCATTAAAAATGTTTAGACGAATTATTTTGTGCTAAAATATGTTATTTTAAAGAAGAAAACTCCTACAGAAAGCAAAATTGTATATTTCAACCTTCTCATAAATAAAAAAAAGCAGATGGACTCACAGCTTCTCGTCACACTCTGCAGGTGGTTTGAGTCTGTGTCCTGACAGCAGCAGGTCCAGCAGTTCATAGTTGTGGACAGCAGGATATGGAGTCTTTCCTCGGGATGCGATCTCCCACATAGTTACTCCGAATGACCACTATGACATGGAGAAGAGGATTACAGGAATAAAGCAGCTGTTATGAGGCTTTTCTACCATATACTGATCATGATGCACGTTTTCCAGAAAGGAAAGTTAGCGAGTCGATGAGGTCTGCAGGTTTTACTCAGGCTTTTTATCAGTTGCAATAATAAACTGAACTTCAATGCATTGTTTTACAAGCAAAATTGCTATGGTCTTAAACTTTTGGCCAGCTAATATTTTATTATTATTTTTTTATATATATATATTATGTCTCTTGCTTATGTTTGTTCTTTTTGCATTTTCAGGTTCCATTTACCTGGCAGCAAGAATTACAGAGAGTTGTTATGTTTTCTTATTTTTTGATCAGTAACTTGATCAGAAATATGCATGATTTTGGTGACAGTTATACTAACTGTGGATTGTTGTGTTAAGGTAACATGGGAGTGAAACACTGCAGAAAAATAAAAGCTAGGCAAACTCACCACATCACTTTTGGTTGTGTAGACCGACTCAGACAGGCTCTCAATGGCCATCCACTTGATGGGCACACGGACAGCGACTGTCTGACGGTAGTAATTGCTGCTGTAGATTTTCTTAGAGAGGCCAAAGTCGGCCACACAGACCCGAAGATCATCCCCCAGCCTGTGCAGAGACAGATACATTTTTCTATAGCACGGATCAAAGCGTACCCACATATGTGCATCACTTTGATGCATTTTCCCATCTTAATCTGCATCTGTCCACCTTCAAAGGTCAGACTCACATGCAGTTGCGTGCAGCCAGGTCCCTATGCAGAAATCCCTTTGTGCTCAGGTAGTCCATCCCCGCTGCGATGTCTATCATAAATCGCAGGAGCGTCTGGAAGGGAACAACCTGGAAGGGGAAAACCAGGACGGGTTTTTTTTCTGAAACTAACTTCATTCCAGGCAGGATTATTTCCACATCTAGAAAATATTTCTCCTCAACAGATTTCTGCTGAATGTTTAAACAAGTCAAATAATTTATAAGCTCACAAGTAATGTTTTGTGTCGTTTATGTCTTATCTTGTTTGTGATTCAGTTTTTCTTTGTTTTGATCTTGATTTTTAAAGTTAAATAATTACTTCTTTAGTTTATATAGCGTGCTTCTTTCGATACTTTGTGCCTATCAGTGTTGAGGTCAAGACCACCTAACCCGAGACCAAGACAAGATCAAAACCAGAGTGTATCAAGACCGAGTGTATCAAGACCTCGGTCTTGGTCTTGACCAAGACCGAGGGAAGTCAAGACCGAGTCAAGACCAAGACCAGCGGCTCACGCTACATGATACGATAAAATGTGAAATATGATCAAAATTACTTCTCAAATTGATCTGAAAGACCCATATTCCCATAAAAACACCTAGATATTAAATACTTAATACATTTTACCAATATTACATATTCCATTTCTGTGCTAAAATGTGTGATGGTCTTGTGCCATCCCTAAAAACATAACGCCCTGGGCATTTGCCCATATTGC